CCAGTGACCCGACCTCACTCTGGTGTAATAAATGTCGGAGATTTGTGAAAGCTGCAATGCATAATTGGAATAAAAACGACAACAGTTTTTTTGTTCTGTAAAATATGTAGGAGATTTGTGGAAGTTGCTGTGCATAGTTGGAACAAAAACGATAATCAGTTTTTATTGCGTAATAAAAATCGGAGATTTATGAAAGTCGCAGTGCATTATTGGAACAAAAACGACAACAGTTTTTTTATTGTGTAAAAAACGTCGGAGATTTTTGGAAGTCGCAGTGCATAATTGAAACAAAAACGACAATCAGTTTTTCGTGGAAAAAAATATCGGGGATTTGTGGAAGTTGCCTTGCATAACTGGACCACAAACGATAATCAGTTTTTTTTATTCACAAAGGCACTAAATTTATATGTTCAAATTGAATTAATTCATAAGTTATTCAGCTGATTATCTCGTGCTACCCGCATCACTGAGTCGTCTTGCTCTACGCTCCTAAATCTATACTCTGTGATGACGTCACGAGGTAGAGCGATGACGTGGGTAGATTTTAAAGCTCACCCAGCAGCCGGCTTCCTGTGTCTCTACCGCATCTACAGCTGTCCAGAAATACGCCGAAAATCGTCATCTCTAATTTTCTAAGAAAACATACATAATTTAAATGTGGAATAATAATGAAACAACAGAATTTGCAAGCGAACTGAAATTTTGCACGCGATTAAAAGCTATGTAGTTCATTTACGATATTTTGCGTTGAATATTTAGCCGATGGTAACGGGACCCAAAATGCGAGCTCGGCGGCGCTACCGAACTGAGTAGACTTTCGACATCTCGGTCCTAAAATAGAACATGCCAAAATATAAAGTTTAGAACCGCGATGAATCAGCAAAGTTTTATAAAGTTCGGGGAAGCGTTCAGTAGAGGGTCGTAGATTTCGAACGAGTTGGCATTCTGCAGAGTAGACGCTACTAAAAGCTGAGGTATGTCGGCGCTACTTTTGGTAGATTTCCAGTCTGGTAGAAATTCAATAGAGAACGTTCATGGGGCGTGGAAATCGCTTAACGGACATTGTCCGGTAGATGTAGAGCGGAAAATCCAACTACTGTCCGAGAAATTCGCCTGTGGTAGAATAAAATAAGATTCCCGATAAATTTCACACTCGTTTAAATTTACAATTTCCAATGCAGATTTCATAACAGAAGCTTTAAAAGTAAATGATGTTGAGCACTTTGCGTAGATAGGTAATTTTACGGTAGAAAAATCTACGCAAGTGTGAGTTTCATCTACCGAATGCATTTGCAGCTCAGCTAAATGGGCCTTGTAGTCACAGCTGTACATTTTAAATTTTATTTCACTATTTCTTATTTTATTTCCGAAGTTTTGAGTCATGTCCGGACACATTTACGGATAGCTAACCCGCCTAACACAAAATATGGACAAGTTTCTCTTGTTGGTACGATATAATTGTATTAGTCATTGTCTTCAATGAAGTTGTTATTAAATATTATAATGATCGATTTATTATTAATCGACAGATTGACCGAATTATTTTTATTTTTTTTATCGATTATTATTTTTCGATTAGTCACTGCAGGATGCAGTATAAGTCACTGCTGGATACAGTGTAAGTCACTGCAGGATGCAGTGTAAGTAACTGCAGGATGCAGTGTATGTCACTGCAGGATGCATCGTAAGTCACTGCAGGATGTAGTGTAAGTCACTACAGGCACGAAAGTAAGTCACTCCAGTATGCAGTGTAAGTCATTGCAGAATGCATCGCAAGTCACTGCAGGATGCATCGTTAGTCACTGCAGGATGCAGTGTAAGTCACTGCAGGATGCAGTGTAAGTCACTGCAGGATACAGTGTAAGTCACTACTTGATCCAGTGTAAAGCGAACCAAATGGACTTCATTACGTCATTTATGTCGCTTTTTACGGTGACTGCAGCAGTAATTTGACGTTAGATTATTTGCTAGGCTCCCAATATCCCTCGTAATGCTTGCTGCCTCTGCCATGATGTGTGACGCTGAAATGGTCATTATTTTCGCTCAATACATGGTAATTCTCAACGAAATTGGGTATTTTGAGTATTAACTATAACTTGCATTGGTGTTAAATGGCATTAATTTGGTGGGGAACATTATTAAATCAGCGCAATGTTTGTGGGATATGGTAATTATTCTTTGTGATATAAAATGATCACAAGCGATTTATGTTAACAGAGTATTATCTCACAAAATTGGTCGTTAGCAGTGCACGTATAATGAATTATTTCTGGGGTTCACTACTCTAATTTTAAATCGAATACCAGTTCGATTGAATTAAAAAATCAAATGCCATCAGTGCAATTTGGCTAGTTAATAGAGCTTTACTCAGTATTGATTGAAATTGATTACAAAGACTAATCACGCAAGCCATCAAAAGTTCATGAGCTTGTGTTTTTACCACGTTTTTTCTAGTCATTTGAATACATAATTTGTTGGAATATTTATTCTATCCAAACTACATTGTCGTTGATTCGAAATTTAAAATTCATTACTCTTTAAAATCAATACATTTTTTTTTAAATTTGTTACCAGCACAGGTATTATTTCTGGGCTTGTTCATAAAAATGTTTTATGGGTACTTGAAGTTAAAAAATCAAGCCATTAAAAATGTTAGAATTAGAGTTTTTATTTCTATTTAGGTACATATTTACTGATCGTTTATCATGACTATTAATGTATCCATGCTACCACTTGCGATGGATATTGCTTCTGCTGAATCCCGCCCCCGAACCTGATCCCTTCACAAATCTGGTCATGGGATACTATGATCCTATGATCCTACGAGTGATGCAAGATTAGCAGGCAGTCCTCTTGAGAGATCTGCGCTTGAGATCTCATTAGACTGCAGCAGGTTTGGAGGATCAAGTTCAATATTTTTTAGTTCCGGATTCCACCGTCGAAGGATTGCTTGAATTCCACCCACGCCATATTCTACGCAGCTGGATAACTGAATTGTCTGGTTCGTCTCTACTTTATAGTGTACGCATTCCATTTGTAAACTGGATTGACCGGTATACCCCCAATACTTTATTCATGCCTAGTGGTTGGGTTTTTGAGAGTGCCTAATTATTACACTACTCTTTAACTTCACTTCTTGTTTGTCTGTCTGTCTGTCTGCTACAAATCTTATAATCTAAATTTAACCCTTTTCTACCTATCCTATCGATCTGAAATTTTGCACACTTGCATAAAGTTGGAGACAATGCATGAATCAATTGACAGAATAAATAAATTTAACAATAAAAAAAATTTGTAATTTAAAAAAATTGAAGAAATAATTTTGTCTGCTACAAATCTTATAAACAATATTTAACATACTTTTAGCTGTTCAATCTATCTGAAATTTTGCAGACTTGCGTAAAGTCGGAGACAATGCATGAATCAATGGGCAGAATAAACAAATTTGAAAAATTAATTTCTGTTATGTATTAACATAATTAAAAAATTAATATTTAAATATTCGAAAATAAAATCAGAACTTTATTGTACATGTTTTACATTGGAGACACTGGATTTTTTGGAAGTGTTGTCTTTAAAAATCAATTTTCAAAGTATATTATTATTTCATGAATGTAATTCGTTTTAGATTGTATGGTCTCAATTCACGTTTTGTCCTTTAAAGATACTTTGAGTTCAGCATAAAATGGCAAGAATGGTAATTGACTGGCATAAATATGGATAATAGCATTTATAATGAAAATGAATATAAGTAATAACTACACGAAAAGAGGCAAGAAAGTTTAGAGAACGTCAGGTGTCATCTGTGAAATCTAGTCTACGGAATTAGCAACCAGTATTCAAGTATGCATGGGCTCAGAAACTCCACGGAACCGAAGACTTCTCTTTAACTTATTATAATTAAATACCTTATTTATGAGTGAAAAGGTAATTTAATTTTGAAATCATCCACGACGTAGTCTGAAAAATTTAGCATGGATTGGTAAATAAATGTTTTTTTAAACAAATTCAAACTGTTAAAGTTTGGATAAGTCAAGGTTGTGTTTCGATTATAAATATATAATAAACCACCACGTAAATAAAAAATATATTTCGATTTTAAACCACCATAAATATAAATAAAGGCCATGAGCATAGTAAAAACGCATTTATTTTCACAAAGAGAAAGAATTTTCTCCGAGTAGGTTCTTAATGTCCAGCCTGAAACTTGCCATGCAAATGCCTCGTTTGATTTCAAGCAAATGCAGTGCCTGATGATGCTCAAGGCTCTCATGTTGGAACTCTGGGCTCGGGAGTTGCTAAACGCAGACAAATGAACAGATTATTTTTTCAATATAATGCAACACTTACTGCATGTAGTACTGGTACGTCTTTTGCCACTACATGATAAGAAGTGCATCGCAATTTAGACAAAGTTTCAAAATTTTTCCGAGTGTGAGGTCCTTGCAGGAATAAAAATAATTTTACAAAATTCACATAATTTTAACCAACATAATATCAAAGACCAACAAAACAATTCTGTTTTCATAAGATAGGAAAAAAATATATTCTTCGAGAGATCTGTACAAGCTAAAGCAACTTCTGAAAGGATTATTTTGCAAGCTACTTACCAATATTCGGTCGTTACATAAATACCAATTGTGAATGAGCCGTTGCATCGGAAATTCTTGGGAGGACGTGCAAAATTATTCATAATAAAAGGGTTTTGATAATCTTTTGCACCAAGAAAAATGTATTACAACGCTAAAAGTAATATGGAATTTAATCGAAAACGACATATAATCCGTGCAAATGGTTTTTGTATCGCCCAATGACGAATTCTGGACCGAATATGTCATTACGCACGATATCGCATAGCACTTTACTGTCACTTGCAACATGCAAAATTTTACTGCCACTTGCCAGACGCACAACTTTACTACCACCAGCCACATATGCAACTTTATTGCCACTAGCCACACGCACAACTTTACTGCAACTTGCTACACGTGCAACTTTATTCACGTGCGACACTTGCGACACTTGCGACACTTGCTACACCTGCGACACTTGCGACACTTGCGACACTTGCGACACTTGTGACACTTGCGACACTTGCGACACTTGCGACACTTGCGACACTTGCTACACTTGCGACACTTGCGACACTTGCGACACTTGCGACATTTGCGACACTTGCGACACTTGCGACACTTGCGACACTTGCGACACTTGCGACACTTGCAACACTTGCTACACTTGCTACACTTGTGACACTTACGACACACGTTTACGGAAGAGTCGATCTGCTGAGACAACGCGGGCGCGGAATCCCAATGCCTTGAGCACACAATTGTATTGATGGACCGCCAGTGGATGACACGAGAGTTCGCTATTCCGAATACCAAGATGTCATCTATGAGAAATGAGTGAGAATTTGTCCAAATTACGATGCACTTTCTAACCTTGCGCGAGGGATTCTAACCAAGTTTGGCGCGGCAAAAGGGCAGGGGTAGCAATGCTACGGGCCGATATCGGCTTGTGCCGAGGGTTAAGAATGTGTGTCACTGTTTTGACAAAATGATCCAATAATATTTCTGAGTATATGTGGTGCGAATATCCTTGCATCGAAGGATTCTTAAAATAATTTAAGATCTTATAAACGGATTTTTTTGCGAATTCCTTTTGAATAAAATATTATTCAATTGAGATTTTCCGAAATTTGGGAATGTCTTGTAAATAATATATTCGTGTTATTTTTACATCAGTACGTATCTCGGAATATAGGCAAAATTAATGATAGATTTCCTTGGAGGGAAAATAGTTCCTTGTTAGTTGATAACGAACAAAATAAACATCGCTTTCGCGAGGTTGCTATATATCAAGCATTCCTTCATACTCGTACACCTTTGAAAGCGCTTTTTTGCACATTAAGGCATTGTAACCGTCAAATAAAAATCCTCAATGTTCTGTGAGCAAAAAATTTTGGTCTCCGCTTCCTTTCCTCGATTTCCGTTCCTCTGTACAAAATTTCCCTACCGCTTGACATGAGTTATAGATATCCAAAGTTCACCATGTCATAATTTACGATCTATTGAAAAGTTTTACAGGAATTCGGGGCTATTTTATCCCGTGGCGACTTTGATGAACGATGGCGACTGGCGATCGGGGTGCTTTGACCCGCGAGAACAATGACCTCTTCGGGTATAAGATCGTCTCTTATAGTGAGAGTAAAGCCAGCAAATTGTCAGTAGCGCTGCGGCACTGGGCGAGTGAGGGTGTGCAAGTGGTGCCTCCAGTCACACTTTGCTAGGACGTCCCTCTTGAACAGATCGCAGCATCTCTTGGTCACGAGCAGCAAGTGAAGAATAGTAAATTTATTTATGCTTCTAGATTAATCTATTTGATTGTTTCTCTCATATTTTAATGTAAAAATTTTGATTAAATCGATTAATGGAGTTCGGCAGCTATTATTATCTCACAGCGACAAATTTATGCTCTGTGAAATGGCAACGGTAGAAATTATTAAAAAATGCATATCTTCATAATATTATAATCTACAAAACTCAGTTTCGGAACGCAAAAAAGTTTATGGATTAAATTAAGAAAAATTAAAAATGCACATTCATCCGTCACAGGAATTTCGAACTAGATATATGTCAATAGTTTGTGAATAAAAAAAATAAGCCTTAAAATATCCAGTATAGCCAAATTCGAAAAAAATATGCGAATTGAATTAAGAATTTCAAGTCATAAGTTAAGTGGGGAGTATGATGGAAAAATGCGACAAATGAATTGAATGGAAATTTTTAAACAAGTAGGATTATTATATATATGACACAATTGATTATACAGTAATTATATCTGAGTTGAGTTACTTGTTAGTTACTGCAATTATTCCAGTAGTTAGTTGACCACCAGTACCAGCCTCCAGCTAGACCAGCCAGCTAGACCCGCCTGCTAGACGCACCATGCAGTTTGACTCGCCTAGTTAGACCAATCGGGTTGACCCATCGTCTAGACCCCCGAGCTGTACCCGCCAGTTAGACCCGACGACTAAACCAGTTGGATAGACGAGCCAGTTAGACCTACAGTCTAGACCCATCAGTTAGACCCGATCGGAAGCAGTACTGTCAATTTCCGACATTTCAGTGCAATGGTCTCGCTGCCTGGAATTCTTCGGTCATAATTTAGCGCTTGATGAGCGACTTGTTGTTAGGCAAAATGACTGGTCGATTAGTGCACAAATTTTGTACTTATAAGAATATTTACACAAAAATAAATTACCAGAAATTATGATTTAATTTCTTTCGAGTCATTCGGATATCAAGTGATGTAACTTGTTACTTTCTATGCTTCAGTTTAGTTGTTTGTTTTTCTAAAAATTTTATCGGATATATAGACATCGTACTAAAAAGACAAATTCTTCCAAGTGAATATGGTTAGGAGCCGAAAAATTTTCTCATGGCTATGTTACTACCAGAAATCCTTGGAACTTTTTATCATTTTAGCAATATATATTTATTAATATTTTTAAAAGTATTTAATTTCTTCGGAAAAATAATAAATGCGAAGACGTCATTCAATCATTTTGTCAACACAGAAGATGTATCCATTCGATTTATTGCAGGTGTCAGTAATGAATCGAATTCATGCATATCAGTTGAATCATGAATGGCAGATGAATAATGAATATTCATTATATTAATCAATCGAGCCACATGTACATTTGTATCTCCCTTCAGTTGATTTCATTCTCACGCCAAAAAATGTGAGAACTGTTAACATGAAAACGCATGTATTGCTATATGATTTCAAGCAACCAAATAATCTCTTAAATAATGTGTAAATTTATATTTGTAGAATTACCATAAGAAAATTAAGAAATTTTCACGAAACGGTTTATATTAGTTGTTTAAATTTTATATGTTTCTTCTTTTGTGGATAAAATAAAATTTTAAATTAATGTATATATTAAAAGTATACAATATAAAAATATACACCATGCATATATTACTTTTTATATAATATTTTATATTATTACCGTGGTATAAATTAACTGTGTCTTTGGTGAAGACGAGGGTAACTCTGAACGAGTAGCGGCTTTTCCACCAAACCCTCATCACTTCAGTTAATTACTTTTTGCTCTCCACAAAATGAACTTTATAGGAAGTTTTTCAGGCGAGTAACTCATCTGATTCTCAAAACATCATTAGGCTGATCATTCAAAAAGGTTTGAAAACATTCTTGAAACAAATCATCGAGGAAAAATTGTTAATAAACGTAGAATAAATGAAAGCTCGCTCAAAATTTATGAGATTGATTGCCCAAGGCCCTACGCAGAAAATTTCATCAAAAATTCAACACTTACGGCCACTTGATGAATCAATCAATAATTCTAAAGCCTATTCGTCTATTGCATTTATTATTGTTAGGATATATCCCTCTCGCCTACTAAGTTCAATATCGCCCTTTTTTGGATATTAAAAGACTGGGAGGTATTTATCCCTAGGGCCATGAGATATTTATCTCTTAGACCGGAATGTATTAATCCCTAAGACAGGGAGGTATTTATATCTCACGATGAAAGGTATTAATCCCTTGGACCGGGAAGAGCCTATCCCTTAGACCGGGATGCATTTATCTCTAAGACCAGGTAGTATTTATTCCTTCGATAGGCAGGTATCTATCTCTAGGACCGTACGGTATGTATTCCTTAGACAGGAAGATATTAACCCCTTAGACCAGACGGAATATATACCTCAGACCGGCAGGTATTTATACCTCAGACCGGCAGGTATTTATACCTAAGACCGGGAGGTATTTATCCCATATACCAGGACGTATTTATCGCTCAGACCGGGAGGGAATTCATCCCATATACCAGGACGTATTTATCGCCCAGACCGGGAAATATTTATCCCATATACCGGGACGTATTTATCGCTCAGACCGGAAGGTAATTATCCCATCAGGCGACGTAACTTGACGACCAACTTTGTCTCGAAGAAGTCACCGCGTGAAGTCCATGACCTCAATTACTTTAATTAGCGTCGCCTTCGAAAATAATTGACACATAATAATTTAATTAGTGTCGCTTTCGAAAATAATTGACACAAAATCAAGGAATTAGTGCAACGTTGAAGAGAATCGCAAGCGTAGCAGACCTCGCCATTGAGAGGCTGAATGTGCAAATCCCGAAACCGATGGTTCAGTTTTGATGTTTCTTCGTAAAAAATAATAACGAATATATTAATAATTAACTTTACAATATTTTCATTTTTGATGAAGGTTTTCATATCGGATTTGCATATGATGATTTGCATATATATCAAAGTGTCGGTGTTCAATTTTTATGACCACACGCTACCGAACGAATGAAATCGTTAATTCGTTGTTCGTCGTTATTTTTCTTATGATCGATTCTTTTATGTTTCGTGGCGAATCTATAATCAACAAGTTGCCATCGTGACTTGTTTAACGTATAGCTTATGTTTTTCCATGGCGTCGAAGTTTACGTCAAATACACGTCTATTGCGCCAAAGTTTACGTCAAATACACTTTTATTGCGTCGAAGTTTAAAGATTTTATTTATTATATAAGAACGAATGCTTAACCAAATGCTAGTCAGAATAACAAAAGCGCTTGTTTGTGCTTTGCAACGTCCACGGCAAGCAGCCAAAAACATTCGTTAAGTCCACGGACTTAATTAATGCGATGCCTTAGTAGTTTCGCAATGGCTATAACGTCGCATGCTTTAGCTCAGACGCGGGGCAGGAATGCGGAACTTGAAGCTCGTTAAGTCAAGCAATTTGAGGACAATTAAGATGAACCGTTGAACAAGTGGTAACTTCTGTTGATACGGAGATGATTGCTACAGCGTACTTTGCTGATGATGAAGTGAAAGCATGCTGCTGTAACTATCGAGTGCCGTTATCACTATTGCCTTTAAATTAATTGTAAATTGATGATGCTGTACTCTGAAAAATTGATGGGTTGTATCGTCCAAATAGCGACAAGCTTGCTTCGTGTAGCACTGATATGTCTTTGTTCCGGGCCAAACTGGGTCAAGATGACCCACACAAGAACAAAAATACATTGTTATTTGGACAACGTATCATCAATTTTTCTGTGTGTATGTAGATTCTTACTGATGAACTGAGAGCCACTATAACACTGTTTCTTCTAATTTTATTGCTACTAACTCTTACTGATTCAATAATTACTAATGACTAGCATTACTGATTCTGATTGCTGTTATTACTGTTTCTCGATGCCTAGTTGTCACAAATTATGATTTTAAAATAAAATATGATATTTTATTTCTTTTGAATCAATGATAACTATAAGAATTCTATATGCGAGTTATCACGCATACTTAATAATGCTAGTGATTGGTTTGTTATTTAATTTTTC